AGACTATAAAAATACCTTTGCTAGGATGGAGAGATATTTAATTTACCAACCTTTAGAGATTAAGTCGACGGAAAGACTGTGCTTTTATAAGCAATTGGGAATAGTATCCAAGCTAGCACACAACGTTGTCACAACATTGCTGTATGGTTATATTTTGATTACGTGGGGAAAAAAATACGTTTTGGCAACGTTAATAAAACGTCACACATTAACAGATTTAACAGATACAGTAAATTGCAAATGGTATGCATGTGCATTGATCCTAATAGACTGGTCCAGAAATAATATTATTTTTACAACGGTAATATATAACGTGTTTACAACGTGGTACCAATGTTTTGGTTGATTTTTCAGTGTCAGGAGGCATAATCATAGTTTCGTAGTTTATTCATTTCTATTTTCAAAACCAATAACTATAAGAAGGCTGCAACTTTTGTAGGAAAATATTTTACTCGTCGGCTTTTTTCGATTACAAACATGAGATAATGTCTTTGCCTTGATAATATTCTACGAATCTACGAACCGACGTCTAGCTCATCCTGTACCGACCGAATCGCAGTTGTGGCAGACACATATCTCTTGTTTCCAGCTATTTTATGAACTTTAAATAGTTAATGTAAATTCACATCTTTAGTTGCAAAAAATAACGTTTATGTATTGATTGATATCTGTTGATAATATCATGCACATGTAAGCTGATACGAGTTTGACGCGAGCTAGTGTCATGGCTACAGTCGCATTTTCAAACAAAGAAAATGGGACTATTGGTTAACATGTTCAACTTATGCAATGAACTGTCTGGCATATTTTTGTGACTTTTATCCGACTCGTATTAAGTAAATTATATTACTACTCTGGTACGTATTTGGAAATAAGTATAACGGAGCTAACATTTCGAATCACGCGCTCTTGCAAATCTACAAGTAGGTCTCTGCTTCAGAAAAAATTCAGAGACCTATTTGTTGTTCTAACGCTCTTGTGTCAAGAGCGTAAGATTTATCGTTCTTGACCAAATCATTTATTTCTTAACACAATAGCTAGTAACACAAATAGAAATCATCAATCACAATGGAAATTGTAATGAATTTATGTTAAGACATATGTACACATATGCTGATATACATAGATGTGAGAAAAAAAAATAAAACGCATATTAAACGTAATTATATTTTGATGATTATTGTCATGAATCGCAGTTGTAAAAAATCTCAAAGTGACATATTTTCAGTGATATTTATATTCACAAGCTTAATAAAATTTTTGTCATCAACTACACAATATATTTACTAAGTCATAAGATAAAAAACTTGTTTACATTGGAAATTGGTCAAGGTCATTTGTGTGTTTGGGAATTTGACTTAAATATAATCTTTAATTTTATTTACAACTCTCTAATTCTGAGCAAGTCAGTTATACACTGTATTCATGAATTTAATTCTAATCTAAAGTAGTATAACTGTTTTGTGTTACAAAAGGATGGTAATTTGTGGCAGTAAAATAAAAATGAATTTTGCGACATTTAAAAACGTTCGTTCAATGCACATCAGACTCTTCACTAAAGTTGATACTAGTCTTGTCATCTTGTAGACATTATAAATGTTAGTGTTCAATGCTAACATCATATACATTGAGTCAACTCCAAAATTTGTTTGGAAACGGAAGAGCAGGATGTGAAAGCATAAGTTTTTATTGCTCAGACACTTATTTCTGAAAATTGTGAGATGTACAATTTGTTAAATTATAGGTCATAAAACATACTGTACAAGACTTGTGCGTGTAAACAGTATTTGCAATGGATTCTTTTTTTTATTTATATGTATACACTGTTCATGATTTCATTGGATTTTTTTTATATTTTTCTTTCTTAGGTATACCGGTGTCATCTATAAGTCTGAAAGCATCTTTACATATATCAGTATTGAAACAACACATCTGGGGAGTAACAAAATATAGAATTACAGTGACAGTAAGTTTTAATATCTTGTAATTCATTTGGTAAATATTTTGTATTGCTAAACCCATGTTCGCTATACAAATCTTTACAAGGAGTTAATAGCAATGATTTTGATCTTTCAAGACAGATGTGTTTTCTATCATAACACTCTTACAGATTTCCAGCTCAGTGTACTTATGAAACTGGACAGAATTATCGAGAATCAGCAAGAGCAGGTGCCATCCAAAGGAAAGTTTTAGTTAAGACACAAGGCCCAGACACGGTATGTACAGAAGAAATTCTTGCAATGCCACGTGATTCCGTAGAGGAACTAGAGGGCCTTTTGCAGAGGATGAAGGAGAATCCAGAATTCTCTAAGATTATGGTAATTCGGTGCTTTATTTTCTCACCTAACAATAGATTTCACCATCCACTTGCCGGAAATGACAAGTGCAAAGTTACCTTTTAACTTGGCTTAACGATATTAAGGGAAACACAAGTGCATACATTTTCATAAGGGGTTGTCCATTAAGGACATATGCAGATAATACATGTTTTTCAAAGCCTCCTCTTTCCATGGCCGCTTTTATCCGCATTTGGCTTACAACTCACCCAAACCCTACCCCCTATGGCTGTGGAA